AAGATACATCATGTAAAGGTACAAGATCCAGAAGATTAATGTAACTGTACTGTATACCTAGAAAGTACCAATAAACTTAATGGAAAAAAAAAACAATATTAAAGTGTCAGCTCTAGCAGTGAATTTGAGCTTAGGTAAAAAAAAAAAAAAAAAAAAATCTCATGGTTCACCAACATTGCATATACAGAAAAACTAATGACTGTGAGATGGTAGTCACTTTTGCTCAAATTGTTATTGTTTCGTTCTATCACATTTTAGTTGTGCAGCTTGTCCTCAGCCACACTGTATGCTGTGGTTAGTGCAGGAGCAGCCCGTGGTTAAGGGCTGGCTAAAAACTTCCAGTGCTGTTATGAGTGCCCGTCTAGCACCGCCCCCAAGTTTGAAATCAGAATAGAAGATCATTTATACCGGAACAAAGTTACTTGTTTCTCTTATGTCTTCAAAAGTGGCACATCCAGAATGAAATGATGAGCATAATTACAGAGACAAATGGGTGCATTCTTCCTTCTTTTAAACTCATGTACTATCATTTACAGAGATTACATATTTTGATATGGCTCTCATTGTTGTCTTTTAGCAAAACAGAAGCAAAAAGTGGTAAGTTGTGTTTCCTTTTTAAACTTACTATTAAGATTCCTATATATATTTGCCTGCAAAGCTCCATTTTGGTGACCCAGATGACTACAAAGTAAGGGCTGAGCCTCCTCGGTGGGGACCCTTGATAATCATGTATTGTTCTGCTTGAGAATTGTACGCGCTGTGGCTGTCGATACAGAGTGCTCAACCTCACCTTGTCGTGCATGTCGAATCATCTTTTTCAGACGGAGCACATTCCTCCTTATGATGTTGTGCCATCAATGCGTCCAGTGGTGTTAGTGGGGCCGTCACTCAAAGGTTACGAGGTACAAATACCGTCTGTTTCTCTTCTCTTGACCAAGAACCCAGGAGATAGTCCTTTGAGTTCTTGCTCCTTCAGGGCTTGTTTATGTATAGGAACTCACGGAAGCCAGCACTCACGAGTGAAGAGGGTGGTGCAGCAAGGGCTTTTTGGCCCTTGTCTCTTCTTTCCTTTCTTGCACACTTCTCATCTTTGATGCATCACATTGTTTAGAAATATCTCCCTCAAAGCATTTACAATGGGAAATTCTGGTAAAAGATTTGCTTTGCATTAAATTCAAAGAACAGAACTTTATCTCAGCCTTTCTTGTTATGAATAGAAACAATAGAAAATGAACAGCACATGGGAATAGATACACAGTCTTCCAGCAAACCTGAGTCCTTAAAGTACCAATCAGTCTCACCCTACTGGGTGCTCAAGACAGTGGCATATTTTACCACATGTTTTTGGTTGTATTTGTTTTTTAAGGACATTTAGGGAAAACCCCACTAAAAACACTAGCAAATTCTGGAGATTAACCACACACCAAGAAAAAGAGTAGAAACCTAAATGCACGACATTTCAGATGTTGCAATTTGGGCTTTGTGCAAGCATAGGTAAAAATGGGGGGTGGCATTTAAAACCAAAGGTGGGCAACCCCCAGGGCACCATTCCCATTGAGGTAGGACAATGTCTGACACAGAGTAGACACTTAGTACACATTGGTTAAATGAATTAACCACTCTCTTGAGACAGAGCTAAGAATCACATCTCTTTGTCTTCCTTTGAGTTGAAAATACTAGTGTTGAGCAGGATAGTGAACACGGAAAATTCTCACCGATAAGCACAGACTAGCAGGAGAGCTGACCCTAGGGATAGCTTTGTGGCCTCTCACCACTCCTCAGTAGCAGCGAGCACAGTTCACGTGTGCCAACGATGGCCAGCACTTGTGTACAAGGCCATCCTATTGTCTCCTGGCAGCATTTTCAGCCCTTAATAAGGGAAGAGGAAGAAGGACTCGCTGTGGCTCTGGTGAATGCTGCTGGTTCATTCCTCGGCACTCTAGAGGGGGAACCAAGGTGGGGGGAAAATCTGCAACTGCACTCAATTATGCATGAAAAACACCTTCTCTGACCTCCCCGCAGGAGACAACTGGCTGTGTTGATGAGGTCTCTGCTCAGTCTTAGCACCCTCCCCTTCCACCTCTCTCCTTTTGACTTCTCTCTCTCTGCGTGTGTTTGCCTCATTCTTTTTTTCTCACCTCTGCAAAGGTAACAGACATGATGCAGAAAGCCCTCTTTGATTTCCTGAAGCACAGGTTTGATGGGAGGTGAGACATATAGATGTTTTTGTATTTTTATTTTCCTTTAACCGAACATGTATGATAAATTGATTTGTGAATCTATGTTCCAGTGGTTGTAGAAGTTCTCTAATTAAAAGTACTCTTGGGAAGAATAGAGTAAAAGCTCTGAAAATGTAAAGTACAACATTGGATCCCTACGTGGAAAAGGCCTTGAAAAGGAAAATAATCCACTTGTTTTATTGAAATCTGTTTGTCTTTATTTTCTCACTTGTTATTGAATTAGTGCCAATGTGGTTTTCATGAAAAAGTTCATTCAAATACATAGTTCTGATTTAATATAATGGCTCACTGGTCACAATGAATGATATTATTTGAGAATTATGTGGTGTGTGTGTGTGCGTGCGTGCGTGCGTGTGTGTGTGTGTGTGTGATACAAAGGTATAAAGCACTGCATTTTCTCAAAAGAATAATTCAAGAATAGTTTTCATCATAAACCTTCCACAGTGATTATTGCAGGTAATAGTGCTTTTTTGGATGCTTTTTTTTTTCAGAAATGAATTTGTTATTTTAATTTTCAGAGTTTGGCTTCAACTTTCTGTCATATATCTTTCTCTCATTGATTTTTTTGAGACAGAGTTTAATTATGTTGGCCAGGCTAGTCTTAAACTCCAGGACACAAGTGAGCCTTCCACCTTAGTCTTCCCAGTAGCTGGAACTGGAGGCACCTGCTACCCCTGCTCCACTCATGGCTTTTGCTTTTGTTTTTGTGGTGCTGGCCCTGGAACCCAGGGCCTTATGTATACTAGGCAAGTGCTGTACTACTGAGCTGCATCCTATGCCAGTTCTTGTTAGTTTAGAGGTCTGTTTTGTATGTATCCTTCTGTGATCTCTAATCAATATGGCCCAAGCATCAAATAATTTTGTCATTTGAGTATTGTGAAGAATGTCTAAATGGAGTTTTTGTGTTTTACAGAGAAGTGATCAGCAGTCCATAATGACAGTTCAGAGCATAGGCTCTTCCACAGTGCAGAATAAACTCCATGTAAAAATAACTATATGAAAAAAACCTGAAGTTAAAAAAAAAGGAAGAAAATTTAAATAGTGTATATTGAGAAATTTGGCTAAAGTCATCCAAATTACTATCTTAAATAGGCTAATTAATTTTTTAAAATTTAAATATCTTCAGGAAGATTTTAATATAGTATTTTAAAGGAAAAAATTAAACAATGTTTTAGTACAAATTATATATCTAGCTATCTATATGTCTTTCAGAAGAAAAGCTTCCTGGATAATCATGTTAAAAATAATTCATTAGTTTCTGGGACTATATACAAAGAAAATAAACTGAGATATTAGTTTCAGTAATTGAAAATTTGGTTCCAGTAGAATGTTTCTGTGACATCATTTGAAGCACATTAGTATAGGTCATCTTGCTTTAATAAATTGGCCCTGAAAGGTGTAATGATCTTAAGACCATAGAAGCTTTTTGTTGCTGACTTAGTCTGAAACGTGTTCAGGTCTGGGAAGGACAGTGAAGTGTGGGGAGGAGAAAATTGGGCAGGAAGTTTATGCCACCTGCCATTTGGGACCCTTGGCCTGGGTATGACTGGGTGAGTCTGACTGGAGAAAGGAACATGCAGGGCCTGGAAGTAATGTGTACCTTTTCTCAAATTTTATTGGCCAGAATTTAGTCACATAGCATTACTTCATTGGAAAGGAGTCTTGGAAGTGCAATCTCACTATCTAACTGTAAATAAAAGGAAACAGATTGTGTTGAACTAATATCAGTCTCTTTCATGGTCATGTGGCAGACAGGAAGGGCTTGAAAAGAAAGAGGTATGTTTCCTGCCTCGCAAGCGCAATGTCCCGAGTTCAATCCCCAGTACCAAAAATAAAGGCATGTTTATCCTTTTCTACTCTTGTTTTTAAGAGGGTAGGTAGGGAATGGCCAATTTCAAAGAAAAGAAGTGAAAAGCCCTGAATTGTGGAATATTGGCATTGAAAGAAAAAGAAGTTCTTTAATTCTTAATCTTGCTTCTCCCACAACCACAATCAGATAGTCAACCTATTTCTGTCTGAAAATTTCTGGCTACTGAGGATTGGCTTCCTAAGAATACATTACAAAGAGACAGCTGAACTCAGGCTCTAACTTAATAGCTATGGTCTCGCTTCTGCCCTGTGGTGTCCTGGGCCACAACACTGATCTTCAGTGGAGTGCTATATGGATTGAAGGCAACTGACTCACATGGCCCAGGCCTCTGCTGTTGGTTGCAGCTGCATAGTTCCTTCAGCTCTGCTTGGCATCACTTGGTTTTAACTGTGGTACCTTCACCTAAGGCCATTATGAGTAGAGCCTCATGCGTTAGCCCCCTAACAGCCCCTGATGTGAACAAATTTCACTCCATAACACAGCTTCAGTTTGTGTTGGATTATCTTAGTTCCTACCTAACTGACATATAAATAGTACTGTCATTAAAACTTTGAAAGCTAGGACTGACAGAAGAAAAAGAAAGGCTTTTATATAATTTAGCAAAAAAAAAAGTGAGTGGCTTAATTCCCAGCTTAAAGAATGAAAAATCTGATGACTTCCTCAGGCCTGAGACTCAGAAAGAAGAAATCCATTTAATTACAATAGCACAGATCGGTCTTGAATCAGTCATGCAGAATTGTCCACATAAATTACTGCAGACGCATGATAGAAGTTGATTTCAGTAGAAATAGAATTAAAATTTAAATGCCAGATGTTGTTGGGGTCTGATGACATGGCAGAGAAACTAAAGGAAGAAGCCAGCAGCAGTAAAACTAGAGACAGAGACCTAGCTGTGGAGAAGCCTGGTGTATGGCATAGTAGAACAAATATAGATAATAAAGATGAATGGGTGAGAGAGTGGACTTGCTTTCAGATGTTAAGAAGCCAATGCAGCAGAAAAACTACTGAGTTCATTTCTGAGTGTATGTGGATACTTGAATAAAGAAGAAGAAATTGGCTGGTAGCTTCTCAGTGACTAATGTGCCTTCTATGTGGGAAGTATCCTTACATTTTGAGCTATGACAATCTGCTGCGTTATGTTTTATGAATTAATAAAAGGAGAGAAAACAAAAAATAGGAAGCAGTTACACAGAAGACTTTAGCCTAGTGATACAGCATGAACAGTAAGTTCTATGTAAACCTACTTAGTGTTTCATTGATTTTTGAATGCAATAAGTCAAACAAAATGCTCAAGTGAAAGTCCCCATATTTTTCAAAAAGAAAGAGCAAAGAAAGGATTCATTAGCTGAGAAGATTTCATATTCAGTGCTCCGTTTCAGATCTTGGTGAGAAACCAATTCAGTGAAGTAGACTAAAGTCTAGCTGCTTGGCTACTGCAGAACCATGAACTTGAGAATTTGTTGGTACATTAAAAATTGAGTCAGTTTAGACCTATTATATAATTTTCCTTCTGTAGCTGCTATTGTGGTCCTACCCATGATACATATAAGAAAAATGAAAGGCACAATACTAAGTAGTTCCTGAGGGCTCTCTGTATATGTGAATACCACAGGTAGTAACGATTGCTGCTCACAGATTATAAGTAAGCGGGCACTCACAGCCTGGTGAGGACGCAAAGCTTCCCTCATCATTTAACACCACAGACATGTACTGGGCATCATACTTTCTGATAAGATTTGTTGAGCTGGTTCAATCTACCATTCTTAGGCCAAACAGCAAGCATTCAAACCAGTTGCAGTGTGTTGACCAATGCCAATCATTTTAGATACCCTAAAAGTTGTTGCTTCAGGCTTTTGATAACTGAATGAAATCAGCCCTATAGCATTTATCAGGCACTTTGTAACTGATATGATCATGGCTTAAAATTCTAAATCTATAAGGATAGAATCTTAAACTGATGAAAGCTATCAGCGAGGACACAGGTAAAGAAAACAAAGTGGGATTGCCAAATAATTCAAAAGAGAGGAAACTAAGAATATAATTTATGGAGATGCTAAGCAGTAAGAGTATTTAATACACATTATGAGCATAGAATATGAAGGAAATGAAAACTGATACTATCACAAAGCAGCCATAGTACATAAGAATGAAAACAATTTATAATTGTAGTCAACAAGTGGAAGAGCCAACAGTAACTTCTGTTTCATAATCAGTATCATTCCTGTCATCTTCTCTTACTAATCTCTATTCAAATACCAACTCATTTGTGGACAATCACTAGAGATAATTGAATGCTTTTATGCTAAACTTGAATGTTTACTTGAGTACATTATTTTTTGTTACATCATGTTTGACCTAATTCTTTGCTCCTCTCAGCATATGTGAATTTCATCAACTCTGGGAATAGGAGAATTTATTGTAAATTGCTTAGCCTTTGAGGACAGGATATAAGGAAACACTGTATCTTTCAAGTCTTCAAATCCCTAGTAATTGTCTCGTATACATTATAAAGATTCCTGTCAACATAGGACAGTGAGACTATCTTGTTAGGTCCTAATTACAATCCCGACAGATTTTTATGACTATTATCACTATTATATTGATTAAGATACCTAGGTTTAAAAGATGTCATGAATTGTACATGATCATGCAACCACCAAGAGGAATGTTCACATGCTCTTGTGCTTTTCATCCCTGTCCTGACAGCAAGCACACTGTTCTGTGCTTTGGAACACTTTTCTGTATGAATACTGAGAGTTCTTTTAAAAGGTAAACCAACTGGACTGCATATTAGAAATTACAAGGATAGTGTATAGAAAGATTTCATGGGTATTATATCACCAACATGGAAGTACTACTTATTTTTGAATGAATGTGTCATAACTGAAAGTAGTATCTTTCAGAAGAAAATCACAGAAAAGTAATACTCATGCCCTGATGGGTTACAGCAGTTAAGATGAATTCCAAAGTAAAAATAAACAGTTGGGAGTCAGATTCATTGGATTTAGAGAATACAAATTCAGTGCTTAGGTTCAGTGTTGACTTTATGGGAAAATTTGATTTTGTTCTCATCCAGTTCGGTTTGTGACAAGAATTGTGGAAAGAATTCCATGAACCAAGGTGCCACTGTGAATTTTGCTAGTTTTCAAGGACTTTTGTTGCTACAATGAGTCTTCCAGGGAAATGAACTATATTAGTCCTTTACCTGCCAGCATGTAACTATTAATTATGTCACAGAAAAGTTTCCAAAGAAACAATAGAGATGGGCATTAAGCAAGGTGCTTACCAGAGCTCAGACAGTAGGGGGTATGTAAATTTTATATTTATTTGTGTTTGGGGGGTTGGGGTTTGGGGTCTGATTTTGCTAAGAGTAAACATCTTTAAAAAAGAAACCCTTGTCTTATTGAAGGGTTTCTACGGCTGTGTCTATCTTTTCTCTGAGCTCTTCTTCATGCACGTATATTTTTATTAACAAATAACTTGTATTAGCAAATGAACTTGTGTTTTTATTGAAAAATAAAATAAGAAAAAGAACTATTTCCCACATCTTTTCCTGTTTTTAATATACTAGGCCTTTTTGCTGTATTTTTAAAGACTTCTGTTGTGTTTTAAAATGATGTAAATCACACACAAAAATGATGTAAAATGCTTTTATAATATATTTATAGAGTTATTTTTTAAAAATGCATCTGTTAATAATCCCTTCAAATTTTTAGAACCAAAAGTGACCATTTGCCTTGTGTAGAACTAGGAAAGTTGATTTTCACTTAAGCAGAATAGAATCTTTATTCTAGAAGGCTGAATTCTGTCCCTAAAGGAATTCACTATCTCTGGTCATATATTTAGTCTACTCTGGAACATGACAGTATGTTTTTACCCAGCAACTCCATTCTTAACACAAGAAACCCAGAAGCACAATAAGCTGCCTGTGAGATTTTCTGTCTCACAGCTACATCAGGCAACTGAATAAAGGAGTCTTAGATGTGGGGTTCCCTCAACTTCAACCTGACTGAAGTCCTGATCATCTCACAGTGCCAGGCCAAGGTTATGTATCTGCATTTGATGATGTGACTCATATCTGAGGATTGGAGGTTGCTGAAGAAGAAAACTGAGCTGAAAGACAACTACAGAGTTAGATGACTACACCTTGGCCTGATTCCCAGGGAACTAGTTTAAACCCTTATAGCATATAGAACCATGTGGGATTTTCTCTATCTCAGTTTCCTCATTGGTAAAAATGAGGAAGTTGTTACCTCAGTGCTTTCCAACATATTTTAGCAGTTGAACAAAATTTTATAGTGAAATTACATATAATCCCCAAAATAAACATAAATGCAGAGGCATTTGGAATGGACGGTGGTAAAGCTGGAGTCCCGCCAACTGGTTCTCCAAATGATCCCTGAGGTATTTCTGCAAAACTCTTGGTTTCTTTAGAAGATAATTTAAGGATGTAGCAAATAGTTATTAGGGCCTAAAAATTCTAAAAAATAAAAGTTTTGAAATGTCTATACCACCTCCTGCATATAAATACAATACAGGCAAGCAGTACTTTGCTTTAAAATGGCATTAGAATTTTTGTTCATCCTATTTCTTTTAAAAAGTGGCTCCCAACCATTTGTGAAGAGGACTATTTAAAATTCTCCTCAAGGCTTCATTTCACTGGAGTTAAGTATTAAGTCTCCTGACCGTACTGAAAGTGTTGTTCCAAAACAGGTGTAAGATGACATGTGATTGAATAATCAAACACAAGTAACTCTGCTCTCTTCTCTGTACCAACCCCAAAGGAGTTTAAACATGGAGGAGAATGGGTATGGGGTGGTGTCCTCTTTCTGGGAACTCAGCTAAATTGTGATAATGAGGATAGGGAAAGGCCTGTTGATGGCAGTAACTGGCTGAGGGAGACAAACCGCATCTACAGGTAGATTATAGATGGAAGTTAAGCAATCTCAGCTCAAAATAAGATTTTTAAAATGTTAAATTCCAGATGCTCTCAATTGATAAATCATATAGAAATAGAATCCTCTCTCCTTTCATTTAGCATGTCTTTATTCTTCTGTGACTGTGGCAGATTTTCTAACTTACACAATCTTGGTAGCATACTCATATTGACCTCAAGCATACTGTTTTATTATTGCCCATCATGCACATTCAGCTCTTATGTGAATGTGCTGCAGAATCTTATGCCTGCAGAAAAAAAAAAAAACAAAAAACATTTGCTCACATTCTAACAAGTAAAGACTCCCTTTGGGCAAGTGCTTCATGTACCATAAATTAACTATTAAACACAAGTAATGCAACTTAATCTTTAACTGGTTGATTGTCCTTGATGATGAAAATGAAGAGGGTTTCTCCCTTTGGCTAGCAGCATTGTAATGCTGGGGCAGTCTTTGGACGCTGAAGGTCTTGTTCAAGAAGAAATCAACTGTGAATTGTGAAATTTCTGTATTGCTACTTCCTAGAAAGAGCATGGTTTATTCATGTTTTGATTCCTTCCTGGTGTGGTGTGCATTATAAAGGGAATTTGGCAAGGCAGGCCCTTATGGAAGTAGAGCATTTTTATTGGAATCGTTTTTCAGTTAAATAGCCAAAATCTTTACTCCATTCTGCTCTGCTTGTATTTTAATAGTAGCCAAAGCCTGTTTAAAATACTTGTGGCCAATGCATAGTATATTGTGGTTCCACTGTAATATGTAAAGTGGTTATTAAGTACTGTGGTTATAAATTACTTGCAGAGCCCCATAACATTTTTACTGGCTTGTTCTCTTCTGTGTTCCTATTCATAGGATATCAATAACGAGAGTGACAGCTGACATTTCTCTTGCTAAGAGGTCTGTCCTAAATAATCCCAGCAAGAGAGCAATAATTGAACGTTCGAACACCCGGTCCAGCTTAGGTAAGATGTTCAAAAGTAGTACATTCAGACCAGGATGATTCATGGAACCTCTGCGAAAGTCTTTCCAATTTGCTTTTCCATCTGAATGGGGAAGTGCTAAGTAACTGAGGAGAATCCTAGCCTGGAGCAGAGCACTGTAGCAATCAGAGCCCCACCCCTCCTGTCCATCTTCCCTGCTCGCGTTTCCCTTCCCCTCCCTCCCACCCCACCCCCAGTCAATTAGTTAACTAGTAGTCTGGTGGGAAGAATCTTCAAGGGACTCTCCTAGTCAGTTACTTCCTAACCACATAAACTACTCATCTCTGCTTTGCCTAAGCTTCTCAATGAGGCTAATGACATCTGTCATACCTGAGTCACAGCTGACATGAAAGGAAATGAGATGTTCATCTTTCTGAGATCTTTGGAAGAGCTAACTAGATAATGATGTTCTTAGTGCTGCTTCTATTGCTAGTTGGTAGTACACAGAAGAGTTCACCTTTAATTGACTGTGACAACCACCGTTAGTAACATACAGGGAATTTAAACATATCTTTTCTAGGCTACTAATGCAAAGGCATCCTAAAATTCACCATAATAGAGAAGAAGAAAGGACGTGGATGAACAGGGTGTGGACAATGAGTTCATGCTACTAGTGAATCACGTTCATTCTGAAAGCCTGTTCATGGTCTTCTGTGATAATCAAGAGAGAAGTAGATTTCTTCCTTAGGAATCTCCTTTGCTTTGACATTCTGAGGGAAACTTGTTTTACCTAGAAAAGGTAGGGCTGTTCCCTGCTGCTACATTTTAAAAACCTACTCACATGGGCTCTGTAGATGATGTAAAACTTTAAAAAGTTAATTTCCAAAATAGAGTGCACATTCTAACTTCTCATCATGAATCCACTGAATGCTGTGCCTTGATCCTGCTTTGGGGATTGTGTGGGTTGGAAAGAAGATACAAAGCAGCATCTCTGTTACAAGACTGCTACAAGACTGGGACACAGTAATTGCCAGTAAATATTTGTAGGATAGTTGCTTTGTGAAGAAATGCTACATATACTAAATGAAATAATTGTCATGAGGGGTAGATTAATGGTTCCTTCTTTAGCACTATATTTAGAGCCTTCCACAAAGTGAAACATTCTTATAGGAACAGTATTTTTACCTTCAGCAGGTGACCATGGCAGTATTGGTGGCGGATCAAGTTATTTAATGGGTAAAGTCCACTCGCATGAGTGATAAGGACATTATATTAGGTTAAAGACTTCTCAAATAAGTATCTGTTCTCTGTCCCTCCGTATCCCCTCCTTTTGACTCCTCAAAGTACCTTTTAACCACTCTTTCCTCTGACTTATAAGAAACTAAAAGACACTGCAGAACTCAAGTGAAATGCCTCACTGCTTTAACCATCTGCACTGCTAATGGCTCTCATGAGTATTCCCTGAAGTCAGTCCTTACAATCTAGTCACCTGTCTTCCAAATCAGTAGGGTGGAGAGATGGTATAGTACAAATACCAGGGAAGAAAAAAGTGTACATTAGGTCACTAATTTTTGCCTTTACAAATTCATTTGTTCACAACCCTTGGAGTTAATGATAATCCATTATAGTTACCACTATGAGTTGCTTGTGTTCATATATTGACTTGTTAATGCATATTTGTAGATTCCTTCATCCAGTGTTTACTGAACACTTATATGTCATGCATTATGCTAGAGTCAGGAAATGTAGACATAAATAACTAAAGCAAAAAGAAAGAAGTGACAGGTATTAAAAAGACTAGGATAATGGAATTTTAAAATCTAGGGGATAAAGAAGAAGGGTAGAGTTAAGAGGTATGTGAGAAGTTCTCACAGGAGTTAGATTTGAGCCAGTTCTTTAAAGCACATAGGAATATACAAAAATGAGAGCGAGTGGTGGAAAAGGGGAAGTGAAAAAGGATCAAGATGCAACATAGCATGTACCAACACCTCACAATGAATACATTCATTATGTATTGCAAACATACACTACAGAAAAAAACAACTGATTAGGAAAGAACTGCATTTGTGCATGGCAGGTGTAATAAAGGAGAGTAGGGTGTTGTTTGAGAGTAAAGAAGAGGCTGAAAAAGTAGATTGAAGCCAATCTGTCAGGGCTCTAGTGTAACTTGCTAAAGAGAGCTTTTCAATACATTCCATGAAATGTTTATAATTTATTAAGAGTCATTACATTGAAAATGTTTTTCATGGTCAGATAAGTTTGGAAATGATGAAGTAAACAGTTGGCTTTTTTTTCTTTTCACTGCAAGACTTCTTAAACTCTTTATGTTAGAAAGCATAGCATACATTTGAAATTCCAAAAGAAGCTGTTCTACTATGCAATGTATCCTTTGAATAAAACCCCTTTCTTTCACAGGAAATCACATAGGATTACTATTCCAGGGTATTAATTTTGGGAAATGTTGCCTTGGGCCGTAGGGAGCAATTATAATATTTAAGCATGGGATAAGTATGAACAGATTGGTTGTAGGGGAGATCATTAGTCACAGAGATGCTAGAGGAATGGGCCCAATTTATGGTCAGGTTATAAAAGTATTCCTTCAGGGCCTCCAGCATCATAGCCTATGTTTGTCCAGAGTTCCATGTACCTGGAGCAGGATTACAAAGCCCTCCACTGATACTCCTCTGAGAAACAGGTTTGGTTGAGATTGTTTTTACCTTTTTCTCTCTCTCTCTTTGAGTTTATTGGTGAGATTGTTTTTACCTTTAAGAAAATGAGCTACATAGATAAAAATACCTTTTTCTTCCTCATACCTATAGCCTACTTATTAAATTCTACATACACAGCGTCCAAACACTGGGCTCACCCAGTGTGTAGTGTTGCCCTCTAGCCTCCTGCCTTGTTCTAGCCACCTCCCCCTCCCCACCTTGCCAGAATGCCCATTGCCATAGGTTGTGTGTTGACTGAGGAGTAGGTGTGCCTGCCTTCTCCTGTCAGGAACCACACATACGCTTGTCACTGGCGTGAGTAACATGGCCCAGATATTTCCAGGTTGTTTGGACAGAGACTCAGAGTGCTTTGGGGCTCTTGTGTCAGGCAGTTCAGTTTGCATCACTGCTTCTGTACTGCTTCAGAAAATATTATGTATTCAGACTTGAAGTTAAGACAGTATAGACTTCTTTTGGTATAGAGCTGATCAGAGCTCCCTTAAACCAAACATCAGGTTAATAAAACAACAAATAGAGCACATACCCCATCATCCCAAGGCTGAAACTTAATGTGGTAAAACTTGACTTTATTTTGCAAATTTCACAAAATTTTCTTTTTTAAAAAGTGTTTCTACATGCTAGAGAAAAAGGAGAGAATAAGTTTATTATTACTAGCAAGTGTAGAAAATAGTTTCAGAAGAATTTGGCAAATAAGCCTCCTTGTCCTTAAATTGGTATCTTGAAAGTTAGTCACCTGCCAAAGCAGCAGTCAGTCAGGACATTGGTGTTAGGTATGAAAAATGATAGATATGTTGGCTCTCTAAATTCTTAGTGTTTACTCTAGGTTATGCACTAACAATCAGAAATTCTTAAAAATAAGTTTTTTGCTATTACATAACGCTCCTCCAAAATAGTTACATGGTAATAATTGAATATTCATGATCTGACATTTCCTATCAATACTTTTGGTTAAGGAAGGTAGATTTTGTTTGGTGGGTGATGTGACCTTGAATTTTTACTGGATAAGCAAAGCAAACCATGGGATTCTGGCACAAAACCTTTCTCATGAGGATATTTATTTATCTGCCTTTTCTCTAGGCCATTTAAGTAACTTTGTCTATTCTACGTACTTTGGATGGGACACACTTTGTTAGCCATAAAAATAAGTTAAAGAACAAAATAACAACAATCATTTCTCTGAAAATAAATAGTATAGTTCAAATTTGGGGAAATTATCCAGTAAATTATGTGGTTTACAAAATACATAAAAGACTATAAATTTCAGAAAGCCAGGATATATTTTTGATCATCTGTTTTGCTTTTGAAAAATATCTGAATTGCTTCAGATATTCAAAAAGAACTTTTATTTGCCCAAGCTCATGCATAGATTCCAGTTACTTGGTTGGCTACAGCCATTTGCATCTAGATGCAGTGTGGTATTTTAATATAATTAGCACTTAATTGTTTGTTCTTTTAATAATGTGGATAAGTATGCTTTAGAAAAGACCACTGGCTGTAATATTTAACTTAAAGAGAACGCTTAGAACAATAAGCGAGGTCAATACAAGTTGTAGATTTTTTTTAAAAAGTACATCTATAAAATATTATATATAACTTGTTGATGGATAGAAATAGTTTCCTATAATTTGCTTGTTCTGTAATGGTACATTTCATGTGCACCTTACTTGTTTCCTGAATGTGGTTTGAGATTATAGCTAAAAATGAAAATTCTTTAGATGAAAGCGACAATCAGAGAAGAATTACCATAGGTATATAAATAGCTAAATATTAGTTTAAAAGTGCCAGGGATTTAGCTCAGTAGTGCCGCCTCCTGCCTCGCCAAGCGCAAGGTCCTGAGTTTGATCCCTGGTACTCAAGTGTAGAAGGAAATCAACAAAACTACCACAAGTTTTTCCACCAACTGTTTGGTTGTATGTAAAATTCAACCTGTTTTCCTACCTTTAGAAAAGATCTTAAATTAGGTCTATAAAAATGTAAAACATTTTGTTTTCTAATGAGGTCAATATAACTGAAAGGTGTATTATTTCTTTTTAATATAAACAGTAATCAGTGAGAATAACCAGTACCTGTTATTGTTTTTCCTTTTAGCGGAAGTACAAAGTGAAATTGAAAGAATCTTTGAGTTGGCAAGATCTTTGCAACTAGTTGTTCTTGATGCAGACACCATCAATCACCCAGCACAGCTTATAAAAACTTCCTTAGCACCAATTATTGTTCATGTAAAAGTCTCATCTCCAAAGGTAAATAATTAATTTCTGTCTTAAGGATTAGAAGTTCATTTCTTTTTGAAATATTCATTGTTCTGTTCTTTTTTGTTAGTAAGAAAGTCTTCCTGAGATTCTGTTAATAAGTACATTTTAAAACAATGTGCAGGTGCTAGAAAACTTTGAGATAGTGAATATATAGTCTATTCTTTCAAGAAACTTAATTATTTTGTTCTCAAATCAGATAGGCAAGTGTATAACAGAAACAAAATTAACAAAGGTGAGGATAGTAGATTCTGACTTCACAGACTGTAGGTTCTATCTTGCTAAACTTCTTGGATAATAATGATTCTTAAGTAAGCTATATTCTCCCCCCATTTTGGAGAGAACATAGCTCAAGAAAAGTATCTATATTTATCATACATAATGTGAAATATCATTACGTAAACGTCTCATGGAAGTTTTACAGACCTTGACATTTGTGCATAGGTTGGGTGTTTTGAGAACTGTAGTTCTGCTGTGATTAAATACAATTTGTGATGTATCTTTATATAACATACAATTAGGGGAGAGAAAAATAAAAGTAAGACCATCTCAAATTTGTTTCTTGATTTGAATGTCCTTTTATTTTTAAAAGTGATGTCCTTAAATGTTAAGTGAAATGAATCAGACACACAAGCTTAAATATCACATGCTTTCTCTTACAGGAGAAAATCAGAATAAAAATAAAGAGCAAAATAAAAAATAGGTAATGGGAAGTCTGGAGTTAGATTGTTCTCAGAGGGGAGGGGGATTAAGGGATAGAGGGAGGTATGTGGAAGGAGTAGGGGATGAAAAGAAGGAACTGGGATGTGTTATATATACGCGCACCAACTCCACAAGGAATGTAAACGTTATGTACTTCCAGATTGCATCCCCCAAAGAAAACAGGAAGGGGATCAAGAGATGGATGGAAAGGAGAAGGAAGGAAGGGAGAGGGGATGAGAAGAGGAATTAGGTGTTATGTACACGTACCAACTCCACACAAGGAATGTAAACATTATTTACTACACATGTGCACTAATAAACTAAGAAAGAAAACAAAAAAGTTAATTCCTCACAGGGCTATATATTTCACATTATCTTAATAACCAGTTTCCTTTCGGTGCCTTCTAGAATGTATTTTATTTGACTAAGTTCAAACTTACAGCCAGAGCATCGGTCTCCTTTCAAGGGTAGGGAAAATCTGAAGAAGCTGTGTCTCCTCCAAAACTTCTGGGATCTTCAGCCTTCCATCTCTTCAGGCACTGCTTACCTACAGTAAATTTGGAAATCTTGATGATTCTGGGAATTGGTAGAATGGACTGAAATTGCCTCGCCAGCTCCCTGACCTCAAGCTTTTGGGGACTCGAGTCCCCTCCATCACAGGGGAGGAGAGGTCACCCCTCCCTACTGCTCCGGTCACTGTAGCACCCTTAAGGGCAGGACCACGGGCACTCATTCCCTGGGGAGCTAAGGTGTCATAGAGCTTCATAGACTAGCATGGTTTTAGGGGAGAGAATGTCCTAATTCATCTAACAAAATGTATTTTAAAAGGAGAGGCTATGGCCAAATATACTTGCAATAGTGACCAGAAGATAGATGTATCAGCTTATATACGTATAAGAATGTACCAGTGCAAGTGTTTTGCCTAGATTTCCAATCATGAAAAAGTCTGATGAATGTAAAATTAAACTGGAATGTCTGATGAATTGTGGTTGACAAAAGTAACCAAATATACGAATGACTTCGACATTTATCTGACATGGAGTTGGGAAGTCAAAATATTGCTCAACTGAATATCAAAATATGACTCAATGTGAATGACCCAGTACAAACCAGTTCCTCCATTTTGGCAAGACTCTCTTTGAAATGTCAGAAGAGATTTCACAATCTAAAGTGGGACCTCAGAATCCCACCAGTGCCTCAGGTGGAGCTAGTCTAGGATGAATATTCCTGGTCTGTGATGCTGACACCAGTGTAAGCGTATGGCATTGTTACAGGGTTTACAGTATTTGATTGCACACATTGTATTTCCTCTTTACTAATCTTCAGGGCTGAACAGACTATTAAAAAGTTCCTGGTTTATTTGTTTTGTTCCAACTCATTAGCAGTACCTCAGGTTCATGTCTTCTTCTATCAGGTTTTACAGCGGTTGATTAAATCTAGAGGAAAGTCCCAAAGTAAACACTTGAATGTACAGTTGGTGGCAGCTGATAAACTTGCACAGTGTCCTCCTGTAAGTATAATCATTTTTGTCTTAATCACTCTCATCCAGTTAGAAGTGGACTTTCTCCCTTCATATGAGCAGTGTCATTTTTGTTCTAGAATGATGGTGATGATGGTGTCTCATCATAAATCTAAAAGCTTTCTTAGAATAAGTTGCAGTTGTCATGTAGTTTGCGCTCAGGCATCCAGAGCTGGAGAGTGTCTGCCTGGTAATAAAAAATGATCATGGTGACTGAGATCTGCTCTCCTTCCTGCTGCTTTTGTTACCTTGCAAACACTCAGCAAAGCACTTATCATGCAGTGTCCAGTTCTGTGAACAGTTTTTAAAATGAGAAGAATAAAATAAAAATGCCAATTTGACTTTCCTTGAACATTTCTGCCAGAAGGTTCTGTCAGGCTTAACAGATTATGATACTGCAGGTATCATAATTAATGGAAAACTAGAGGAGCCCTGTGGTCATACAGATGAAAGGCTTAGGGTTGAGTGAGATGAAAAATTATATTATAGCAACTTTTCTCCTAGTGCTGTTGCCAGAAAACAGCCGCTGTGTTGGAAGGCAAGCAGTGGTGGGCTGGGCGTGGGGGAGAAGACTGCTGTCAGAGGGCACTGGGTCACCAGTGCACAGTTATTTGACTGTCTCTGCTTATGTATCTCTAAAGAAGGACACGACTATCTTTTTTACTCAGTTGATTCACTAGATTATATATGCTTGTATAAAGTTCATTTATGTTCTGTGGAAGCATAATGCAAATGTTTAGAGAGGTAAACAGCATGGCTGTTAAAAGCACAGACTCTGGAGTCAGATGCCCGGTTCAAATCCACACTGAGCACTTATGTAACTTGGACAAGAATCGACTGCATGAGGTTGGTGTAAAAATTCAGTGAGTGAATTTTTGTTGAAGCTGTAACTGCCCGTCACACCATGTTTGCGCTGTCTGGGGTTTCTGCATTGTTTTTATCAGGTGCGCTTTGCGTCATGCTGTGTCCAGTCGATTAGAGTCTGTTATGGCCTGTGCCTCCCTGGTTTACTCTTACGTCTCACTTTCCTGTCTCCCTGGGCCCATAATAGATATTTGTTGAATGAGTAAAATTAATGTACAGGCCAAAAGAATAATAATGCGTCCTTTTATTAGATGTTTACAGTAGGCCAGATGGTATACTAGACACTTTACATTGGATATATATAATCTGGACCGTTATCTAATAAAATAGTCAATATAATCTTCATTTTATAGTTGAGGTAACTGCAGACAGAAAGGTTAAATAATGTCCCTGAGAACATCTAGCAAGTTAGGATTAGAGCTACCTCTGTCTCAAAAGCCAATTTCTTCTCCTTCCAACCCTACCCATCCTGCACACACACATATATATCTAGTCACCCACCCTACAAATAATTTGGACACCTAAGAGTCTGGAGTTTTAGGTTAAAAACTTGAATGCCATGCTACCTACTAATGAAGTGCATTTAAGCAGTAGAATGTTTGATTAGAGCACTGAATTAATATAAAACAATATATTTCCCAGCCCCTGACCCTGTGATGCCTCACAGTTAAAGGAAGATAATCTATATTGTCCGGCTACCAAAGGCCAGGAATTGTGCTGTTGTGTCTAATTTTTAGACCAATTGTGAAGGATAATTACCCTAGTTTGATACTTGAAAGCAGACACCCAATGGAAGTGGAAGTACAAGGGATTTACAGGAAAAATGCCTTTTCTTTTTATAAAAATGAATCTATTAACAGTCTAATAATCACTAGAGAAAATACGTCACACTAAAACTGACTTACTTTAGCTGCTGAGTGGGCTGATCATTGAGTAGTTGTACATTTAGTATGACTTATAACATCTGAAGTAGTTGGAACTAAGAAAAAAAATGTATATACTTAACTGTGAGTAATACTGTGAGTTATTTTAGGACTTGTCCCCAGGTCAGGAATCTCAAACAGCCACCTGCTCTTGGAAGACAGCCTTGCCCCGTCATTATCTTAGCAGGATAAACACGCCCTTGTTTTATGTAACTGGCCAGATAACCTGGCATTTTAAACAAGCAGTCTGAATAAGTAAGGTTATTTTGTACTTAACATTTTCTAAACATTTGATATTGCATGAATAGCATTTATAATGCTAAGAAAGAATTGTACACTCTCATTTTGGCACACATGAAGAGATCTTCAGATTATAAAAGCCAGTAGCAATTTTAAAAATGTGTCTGCATTTGTGGCTTTACTTCAAGACCATAATTATAGTTGTCATCTAAAGATTGGTGATCACTGTGTCATTTTAGTTCCTTTAGGAGAATCTGCCACTTGCTTAATTGGCCACTGCATCTCCAGTCTTAAGAGTCAGCAGATTTTACTGGTGAAATCTCATATTGCAAAGAAAGAAAAGGCAGCTGTTTTATGGGAAGGGAAGTCTAAAAGAGCGATGAAAAAAAGTTAACTCTGTGGGCAACCGAATGAATCCTATATTCATGGACTACTGGAGCAGAAAGGGACCTTAAAGCTCTCGCATGTGTTCTTTACAATGTGGATTAAATGCAAGTGGTAAGGGGAGAAAGCCCTGTACCAAAAATGTTTGAGGAAACGTACGTAACAAATATGTTCAGGTTTCTTTACTGCAGAACCCTGACTGTGCTGGTGTACCTGAACATTTCCAGCAGGATAGGACATGCAGTGTGGCCAAAGACCTGTTTTTCCTATGGGTCTAGTGTTTCATGAAACACTTTGAGGGAAAGACTGATCCAGTACCGTCTCCTCATTTTACAAATGAGTGAACTGAGACCAAGAGTCGAACTGGTTTTCCAAAGGTCATATACGCCTTGGCCGAAGTTAGCCTAAGATCTCTGTCTCCTGGTCTAGTGAGAATATAGATGGTGAATGGCAGTAGGTTGGTTATTACATATTCCCCTGGCAAGGTAATCACAGGTTCTATGGAAGAGGCTTTCTCTAGCAGAGGGGTGAAAGAAGGAGATTAAGCATAGAGCCAGATAATAAATATTTTAGGTATTGTGGCCTTATCGTCTTCTTTGCAAAACTACTCAAATCCGCCTTTGAGTAGCCATCGACAATATACAAATAAATGGGAAAAGCTGTTTTCCAATTAAGCTTTGTCAAAGCAGGAAGCAGGCCTGATTTTACTCCCTGAAAGAAGTTGCCTTCTTTTAGGGTGAGTTATGATTGTCTATTACTGTGCAATAAATTACTGTACAACATAGTGATTTCATACAGTGGCCGCATGCTAGCATTCAGCTGGTAGACGACCTAGTATCTCGGCAGGAATGGCTGCTGGGCTGGAGTCAGCTCCTTTTCTTCTTCCAATTGTCTCAGACTCTTTCCATGGGGATCTCTCTCAAAGGGCTTCTCATAGCAGAGCTCCCAGGGCTCCATGAACAAGGATTCCAATCTCTTATGGCTTGGTCTTAGATACCAGTATAGCATCATTTCCACAGTGTTTTATTCATCAAAATAACTACAGAAGCTTCCCAGATTTAATAAGAGGGGCTGTAACCTCCATCTCCATCTGTGAAGGGAGTGTCAAAGAATTTGTAGCTTCTTCTAATCTGGTATGGCAGATTAGGATCATGGACTGGTGAGACAGAGACAGAAAAGCTGTGGAACTAGGACCTACAAGCCCATCTCATACATTTTTTTTATATGACCAGCCTGATTTTGTTTTACCAGTATACATCTGTATATCTCATTTTTAGATTTCATTTGACTTCTCCCATGTATTGGTGCTCTTTTTCTTTTCCGAGAATTTGAGAAGCAAGTTTTAAGAAGGCCAAGTTCAAATTTCCCCAGCACTATGGTAATAAGAGCTGTGTAACGCACAGTGAGAAAAGCAGATAGACAGTTGAATATATAAATGAAATGTAATCCTTTAATCCTACTTAGTTACAAGCTGGCTTATGTTACCAAAACTGACCCTGTGGCTCTTTGAGCTGTGTAATGGCTTTGTGTGTGTGTAAAATGACATTGATTGCTCTCTCTGCAAGAAGGGAACTCATCTCTGCATTCTTCCAAACCTCTAACATTACAGTAGCCATAGTTCTCTTCTATCCTGCTTTATTTTCCAGTGCTGAATAGACTCAGATTTATTCTATTAAACATAAGAGCTCTAAAGGGAATGAAGGAATGACAGTGCCCAGTATCTTTGGTCATATTCTTTTCATGATAGTAATTATCCACTAATTTTATATAATTAGTTTGAATCATGTGGGCTCACTTATCTATTTGAAGTACTCTCCCTATTGGTGCATTCATTATTATAGAGTCCTTTAATATCCATAGTTTAACTCCCAATACTGTTTTTTCTTTATTTTTATTTTAATGCAATAATTGTTTATATTAATTAAGAAAATATAAAAAAGCACTCTTCTCTTTTTATGAAAAATTAAATTTCATAACAAAATAGAGAATAACAATATTTAGTATCATTCCCTAATCTTAAAAGAATGGCCAAAATGTTATTCAGGGTAGAAATCATAGACAAGAAAAGACTCTCTTTTATTTAAAAAAAAAAGAGATAATCGTATAAACTCTTTTCAATGAACTGAGAGAAACTAGTAACATAAAGGGAACAGCTTTGAAAAAAAGCATAATAATAAAATGCAGTACTTCCTTCAGGAAACAACCCCATGCGGGATCCAGTTTTTGTCAGTCCAAAGGGAGCTACACCTTTTCCAGTGATATCATCCAATTCATGGCCTATTTTTAGAGTTCAGGGCAGTTAATTTTCACAGGTGCCGTGATGTAACCAATTGGACTGATATGATCTGGGTGCATTTTCTGGAGACAGTAACATTGGCAGATGTTGTTACAATCTTTGAAGGGTAAGAAGGGACAGGATAGAAGGACATCAGGAGAAAAACATGTTTAGGCTCAGAATGAATGTCACAAATAACTAGAAAGAATCAGAATTACTACAGCCAGGTGTGGTGCTGCATGCCTGTAATCCCACTACTGGAGAGGCTGAGGCAGGAGGATTGCCACAAGTTCAAGGGCATCCTGGGCCCTTGTGTGTGTTCAAGATCAGTCTGAACTACAAAGAAAGACCCTGTCTCAAAAAGAAACAACAAACAAACAAACAAAAAAGTCACTGTGTTCTTTGCCTTTGTGTTATTGCTACCAACTAGTGGTAAAAACTCTCTCTTTCCTGTTTAGCTCATTAAGATGAAAACTACTTGGGACTGTTAGAACCCTGCAATATTGGTCAGCTTTAATTTATCCCCCAAGATCTCCTAAGTCTTATTTTAAAAAGTCTTTAAACTTAGAAAAATTTCCTAAGTTGACCAATGAGTTAAGTACTCAAAACCTGAAAGGCTTTAATAATAGAAAGAATGCAGTTTTGACATGAAGTAAATGTTGGTTGGCTATTTTATAATTATCATTGCATGTTGTGACATTGTGCCACTTTATTTTACTGAATAGTAGGATTTGCCAGGATTTTCACATTTTCGCACTGAAAGTCCCCCTGAAACATGCAGTCCCATCAAGTGGTTTCCCTAGGAAAGATTGTCACATACTACTCCGGCATAGAGAGCAGGGCAGACAGTTGAATGCTTATAATTTCTTCTAAAAGATTTCATAAATCTTCATTTTTTTATTAGCAGCTTCAGTCCTTCTTTCCCTTTCGTCACCACTGGTGTAGATCTCCTAAGCACTGGATGAAGTAGAGGCATGTTTTCATTCGTGCTTGTTTAAAACAATGTTTTAGTTTTTAATTTTCCTGAAAGAGCTAACCCAGAGAAGGGCCTCCTGTGCCTGAATTGTGGATGGTTTCTTTTGATTTCTCTGTTCACTCCATGTTTACTTTGGCAGGCATGCCATTTCCGCCTTCTTCAACTGACTGTCCCATCCCATCCTAGAATGTCAGAGTGTTCTCTGTGGCAGTGCTTTGACAACCACTCCACAAAGGGCTTGGTATCACTGTTCACTGCCTATGACTTTTGTAATCAAGTAGCTCTCTTCATTCCTGGCCCAGGCTATGGGCCCCCATAGTATATACAGCGAGAAGCTGATTACACATGAACCTTTAAATTATAAAAAATAAACAAACCTGGTTTGCAAACATTGGTTTGCTTTGCTTTGAATTTGGTGTATGATTTTTTTGTTTGTTTGTTTGTTTTGGTTTTTTGAGACAGGGTCTCACTGTGTAGTTGAGACAGACCTGGAACTCACTATGTATGTAGTCCAGGCTGGCCTTGAACTCATAGCAATCCTTCCTGCCTCAGCCTCCCGAGTGCTGGGATTACAGGCATGCGCCACCATGCCCAGCTGGTGTATGATTTTTAAAATTCCCCGTCCTGACTTTCTAACACTCTTGATGTATTCAGCTGTGGTATTTATTTATTTATGTATTGTACTGGGGATCAAACTTAGGTCCTTGTGATGACGAGGCATGCAGCGGAACCACTGAGCCCAGCTGTGCTATTTTCTAAACAGAAAAATTGTCACAGATACATGGGCTGCGAAATTCACTGAAAATAAGGTGCATATATCAGTATTCATTCAGAAGCGGAAATTTGCTTTCTCTGTGCTATTGAAAGCCTAAAAGCAGTTTTAAATCATCTCCCATCATATAGCTGTCTTTCAGCAGTGCAAAAGCATAGTTTGCAAGTAATGATCAGGCTCAAAGCAAACAGCCTTGTGCTGATGTATACAAATTTTATGTAATGGCAAAGAGAAGCACTTTATTAAAATTCCTTGCAATTAAATGTGTTTAGTTGCCTCTGCAGTGGTGACAATATAGCTTGCAGAGTAGCTAAGTAGAAAGAAACCTTACACAAACAGCATTCTGCAGTGGTGGGTGCTTCTCCAGTTATGCCCTCTTTGAGCTCTGTGATCCTGGCTGTCATTGTCAGGAAACTTTCTGTCCAGGAATCCCTGAAGATTCTTTCACTTTGGGCCTTAGAAAAGCAAGAAAATGACTTGTTGGAACTAACCAAACTCACATTATAGAATGAGATCTATGTGACCTAATTTTATAATGAACAAAAATAAAATGATATAAACAACAGGTTCTAAATCACATCTAATCTAGAATTTGTGTGAAAAGTTGGAGCTCTGCAGTAGCTGAGAGGGATCCTTTGTTTAGTGCTGCCTGGTTTCCTCTTTTTTCTTTTCTGTTTTGTCTGTCTGTGGAAGCTTTTGGGGATGTAGCCATCCTTGCCCTGATCAAGTCAGTACTGAAATGCCACTGTTAGTGTCAGAACATTATGGAAAGCTTCGACTGTCTTTGTGACTGCTGAAAATTTATATTAAGGAAAGAGCCTTTTGATGACAAGTGACAAGAAACTCTCTTGGGTTACCTCAGTGGGAAAAAGAGGATTATGGTAAGGATATATGTAGACTGACACTCTAGGAACTGGCTCTTTTTTCTCTCCTGGACCACATGGTTTTGCTCTTCCAGTGTGGCTCTGTTTCTCTTCTGTCAGTTTTATTTTCTTTCCTCTATGGATGGAATTCTTTGGCTTACTCATAATCCCCCCTTTTTTATGAGTTCAAATTTCACAAGCCTCTCTGGGTCTTCTTCTAAATTCAGAACTGTAAGCAGTGGCAGTGCTGGACGGCAGCTCCAGATGTTAGCTGGTGTGGTCTGTCTGAATTCTGAATGAAATCCCAGTGTAAGATGGATTATTATGGATTTTAGTATTTTTCTCTCCTACCAAACTGTGTGCTGCTTGGGCATAGGATGAGTGAGGTTTGTTGTTTTTTGTTTTTTCCTCTGTATACCCACAGTGCCCTGAACAAAATAGATGCCAGGTAAATATTTAATGAATGAATAAAAATACCAGACATTTTACTAATAAATGTTTGGGAGGGGGTGGTATTTTTCTACATAAATTGAATTGGTTGAGTTTTCTCACACATGAGTCAGTTTGGATTATTATATTCTTATTATATTCTTTGTTTTGTTCCCTTGCTTTCCAATTTAGGGTCAAAAATGTCAGTAAAGATTTATGCAATGAAACATTTAAAGGGTAAGACTGAAAGTGAAGCTCTAAGGCAGAACATGTGCCTAGCATGCTTGAGTTCTTATGTTCAATCCCCAGGACCCAAAATAGATACGTAGTAAATGTTGGGAGAGAGTTTCCATGAGGACTTCTGCTTCTAAGCACTGAAGAGAGTGAATCAGTTTAAGTGCCACCAACTGTGTCTTCTAGTTGCCATTTAATCTTTAATCCAGTAATGACAATGATGATAACAGTAACCATGTATTTGAATCATTACTGGGAAGTTCTTAGTTTGGTAAAATTAGCTCATCAAAGCAGGTGGATAGTGGGAGAGAGAAGGCGTTTGAATCTAGCCACTGAAAGATCCATAATCATCCACCTGCTTTAATGGGGAGTGCTAACTGCAGAATAGCTCTTCTCTTTTGAGATGCCACAGTTTTCTGACTGTCCCTACCAGGAATATCTTGTCTTGGATATGTACGGTCTGTGTTCCCAGTCTCACTGCCATAAGAGAAGGGCTGCTTTGCTCCTGTTAGGGCTTAAGAACAGCTTCCTGTTTACAGGGAAGGTGCTGAACAAAGTCCTTGCTGACACATACATGGACACCAAATACTCCTTCTGCATTTAAACACCGCATTCTTTTCAACCATTTCACAATCTTATGGTAGCAGCAATCACTGTAATGTGGCTTTCTAGTATTGATTTTAAACTTTCTTTCCTTCATGTTTTGTCCTGAGTTTGATAATGTCATTTTTACAAACATTCTTAGAATTAGCTAAGTAAATGTAGTCCCTTCAACATAACAATGTTTATTCCAATGGTAGAATTGTTGCCCAAAACACTGTGACCTTAAGTTTCTTCTCTGATATTCTCAAATGAGTAGAATTCAACTCTTTAGTGATATATGGGCAAAAATGTGAGTACATATGTTTTCACTATATTTTACCTATAACACATTTACATTGACTTCATCTCTTTCTAAATAATGAAAGACCCAAATTTTTAACTGGGTACTTTTATTTTTATGCAAATATCCATATTGGCACATGAATAACTATAACTCTTCACTGGACTTTAGCTTTAGCACCTACCCAGTTAGCCCCTCAAATTTGATATTAAGTGCTACATACATATGAGAAGGCTGTTATCTGCCTTACATGAAATTTTTAAGTTTCATCACCTAAAACTGAAACTGGAAATCTAATGGATTTTCTTGTCATCTACAGGAAATGTTTGATGTTATCCTGGACGAGAATCAGCTTGAGGATGCGTGTGAACATCTGGGAGAGTACCTTGAGGCATACTGGCGTGCCACGCACACCACCAGCAGCACCCCCATGACCCCACTGCTGGGGAGGAACCTGGGCTCCACAGCACTCTCACCATATCCCACTGCAATTTCTGGGTTACAGGTATTGTCATCTTTTCACTCATGTTTTTACAGCCTTACTTTTAAGATTCTATAACAATCTTGATTAAATTGAAGACTACAGTAGTCCTTAATCTGAAGAGGGGGCACGTTATGTTTATTAAAAATGTAAACAATTACCTCATTATGATTTGTCCTAGAGAAAGCTACCTAGAGAGTGAACCTTTTCTGGAAAATTTTGCTGTCTGTGAATTTATAATGGATTTTACTTCAATAAACGAATCCTTGGTAGACTTAATGCCTACACAGCACAACTGTCCATGACTTCCGCATGGCACTCCTTAAGGATAATATAATCACATAACTATCAGGTACCATAGCCAGCTAAGGGAGACACTTGCGAAGATAAGCCTTTTAACTGTCCTGAACTATCCCTGCCTCACAGGCTTCTGGCCTGCCTTCTACTTACCACAAGACAGAATGTGAACATGAGTAGAACTCCATTTGGAAACAGTGACAGGTCCCTGAGTTTTGGGGGTGGTGATGGTATCTTTAGGGAGGCTGGAGGCTTCCCAGTATCTGGAACTCCTGTCTTCTGCTGCTCCGGTGCTGCACTCAGAACTAGATACAGGAATCCAGAGGCAGTAAGACACTAAATGATCCTTGCCTTTCTTCATTAATTATTATTTACCACTTATCAAGCAGCTGCTTGGAATGTGGCCAGACCCCCAGGTGACTGAGGAGCATGTAGTCAGCTAAGCAATCTTGTGTCCTTACTAACTTTGTTTTAATGGGTTATAATGATAGTCATAATTGTAGATCATGTGGAGTTAACTCTGAGATAAATGGCACTCTCTGAAATGCTATTAGAACTGTATTACTCGGCTCCAAATTTGCATCTTTGTAAGCAGAAGAGCTTACAAAAAAACGTGAATTGCTTTTGAGGCTAGAAGTGAACATAAGAAATGTATGAGTGTACAGTATGTATATATGCACCAGGATATTTTCTTGCCTTGTTTCCCTTCCTGATCTGAGTAAAGCATTTCTGTTGACTAATTTGAGTTGGCTCTGAATTGTACATAGTGGGGTAAGGAATGAATGCATGAAGCGGTAAGTTTCTGTGATGTAGGAGGAGATGAAAAGTGCCTCGTTTATGAATGCAGTACTCTTGACCAGTCAGCCCTAAGACATCTGCCTAGTTCTCCCAGTTTCACTAATGAGTTCATGTGGTGCCCTTTATCCTGTGGCCTACTTCTCCCAGTAAGCATAGGCACCAACTTGGTATTCACCTGGCTAAGGTTAATGGTGCAGTCTGTGATCCATTGAATGAGCTTTCCTTCTGTGAAAAGCTGAATGTACTTTGCAGATGTTGTGTCTGGGTCCATGATTTCATCAGAATCTTGTTCTTTAACTCAGATGCCCTACCTAAGCCAGTAGACAAATGCAGATACATGTTTACTATAGTGACAAAAATTTTTTGGATAATATTTTCTGAGTAAGTATCTTAAGATACTGATTTCAGTTAATGTAAGGCAGATTTGGTTTTTATCTGAGGATTATTTTTGCAGGACATTTCAGTTGAATCAGAGATTTATAAATGCATCAGTTAGCTGCATAACTACCATTTACTTCTTTGGAAAGAATGTCCAGAGAGACTTTTATGTGGGGTGTAGAAACAAATGCATTATTTTAAGGATAGTACAAGTAATTTAACTGAAATACTTTACAAAGGTATAAGGAACATTCAGCTAAATCAGGGTGAAGTATGTAGCTTTAGGAGAAAGATTTTATCAGTTTAAGAGAGGAATAAAATAATAGATGTTGTTTTGAGCCTTATTTCCCAATAGTAGAATAATACTCATTTTTACAATAGAAGTGGAATTATTTGTTCTTCCTAAGTATACTAAGTTCTATGTAAGAGTCCACTTTCAAGTCCATATTTTTAATAGGAAACATAGTCATGCAGCACTATGTAATTAAATTCATTAAGTATAAACAGCACGGGATCTTTGCATGTTGTATCACAGTTCACAGATAACAGAGATATTTTGAGGAGACCATTTGTGTATCAAAACACTTTCCTAGGGCAGATATTTAGCACCTCATTGTGCAGATCCTGTTATTGTACACACATTTACATGTTTAGACGAATGAAGCTGACATTATTTAATCAATGAACTATCTGATATTTTTAGAGTCAGCGAATGAGACACAACAACCACTCCACAGAGAACTCTCCAATTGAAAGTCGAAGTCTAATGACCTCTGATGAAAATTATCACAATGAGAGGGCTCGGAAGAGTAGGAACCGCTTGTCTTCAAGTTCCCAGCATAGCCGAGATCATTATCCTCTTGTGGAAGAAGAATACCCTGACTCATACCAGGACACTTACAAACCCCATAGGAACAGAGGCTCACCTGGGGGATACAGCCATGACTCCCGACATAGGCTTTGAGGCTGCCAAAACAAAAAATTAAAAATATTCACCTGTTGACTATTTGCTATAGCATTGCTAGGATAAACCATTCATTTAAACTTGGCAAGCATGGCACAGTATTTACTGTGCTTGTGGGCTGCTGTCATTTGATGCTAAGTAGGGCAAAAAAAATGTACATTATGCCCTTGAATCTAGATGGATATTAGATGCCCAATCATAAAGATATTTTTCAGTGCAACATTTACATGATAACAGTACCTTTTGTTTGCTTCATAGATCTAGACACATCAATTTGTAATCTAGGGTACTTATTGAGGCACATATAAAATAATTTCCCATGCTGGAAATTCTAAATGACCAGTTCCAGTTGGAACCAATTTATAAACCAATTCCTGTTGGAATTTGGGTGAATTGACTAGAAAGTCTACTTGAGCATGGTGCAATCAATTGAAAAATTGGAAAAAAAAATTAATTAATAAGAAAATCAAAATATAAATAGAAGCCAAAACCAAGTATTGTATTTATTTGCTGGAAGCTAAACTTAAATTTAAAGTTGGGTGTATAAACATTTTAATATGTGTTAATGTTGCCAGAATGGCTTTTCAAACTTACCAAATATATTGATAGTGCCAAAAAAATCTGAGAAATCTTAATGCAGAAATGATATAGTCTCAAATTTTAATATTTTTATTTCTTTCCTTGCACAGCTGTTGTATTCAAAATGTTTTGCTTTCTGTTCAGTCAATACTCTTAGAATGTTTGAAGTTGGCAAGAAAGAAAAGAAAAGTAGAAAAAAATTTCAAAAAATTTCAGTTGTAAGAGAGAATAGTAATGAAAAGACCAAGAAAAGCAGGTTACAAGAAATAGAAAATGAGGTGTTGTTTCTTCTTTAATCAATATGAGCACAACTGCACACATCCAGGGATGAAAAGTCAGATAGCAAGGATGTTGTACAGATCCTCCTGAGTGCACAGCTAAACCTCTCTCGTCTACTCACTTAACACACACAGGGTCAGTATTTCCTGCCAGCACAGCTGAGTATCTTTCCATTGCTTCACTCAGTCTCTGTCTTTGAATATCTGAACATTCTAGCCCATCGATAATATTTTTAATTATGCTAAGAATTTTTATTTTCCATGGACATATTCAAATTAGGTGTTGAAAGTTGTGTTTTTACAAAATGACTGACTGGCAAAATTCAAACAAATGATGAATTTAAAAACTGGCAAAATTCAAACAAATGATGAATTTAAAAAAATAATAAAGTCCTAGATTCAGAATATATTTGGCAGAGGATTTGGCTTAGTGGTTCTGCTGCCTGCCTGACAAGTGCAAAGGCCGGAGTTCCATCCCTGCTACAAAAAAAAAAAAAAAAAAAAAAAA